AAAAAAAAAAATGATTTACTGCAAAGATACCCACATGGCCTAAGAAATAAATTACTCTGTTAGTTAATTAATTACTCTGTTAACTAATTCGTGTTTGTATAAATGTGGTTTCCTGTTTTACTGCTAGAAAAATATACCAGCAACCCTATTTTTATAGTTCTGTCTGGTACAATGAGTTTTTGTGGGTTGTGTTGCAGACAATCTAGATCATTGGGTGAATTCGAGTAGACACTTAAAAACACATGTTCATACACACACACACACAACCACTTCTCCAAGAGTAAGGGACATTGACTCCTAGATAAGAGAATCTTCTTTTCTACCGTCAGCCTTCTCTTCTTCCAATCTGGTCTCACACATACATAAATGATTGCTACACACTCATTCTTACACCACAAAATAACTATTAATAAATGCAGAGCTTTAATATCTAGCACACAGATCCTTGACAAGTGATTTAGTTTATTTGTAATTTCAATCCTCACGAGAGACTGAACATCTTCTCTGGTATAAGACTGCATTTCCAAAGGAAAATGCAACGTAAAGTAACTGAGAAAGAACCCTGAGGATTTTGTGCTCTCTGATGGCAAAAGGAAGGTGGTTGTTGATTCCACCTTTTGGACACTAAGCCAAAACAAGGGACTCAAAGAGTTGATTTGTGATCATTGTTTTATTCAATGTGGCTTCCCAAGTGAGGAAGATATTTTACCATGTGCATGGCTCACAGCAGTTGAGAACCAGTTAGAGGCTTTGGATGTTTTACTTCCTGAGTCTCTTCTAAGTAGGCCATGAGGGAGTGTCAGGGACCAAGGGATTGTGGTGGGTTCACAGTGTTGGAGCCAACTCTCACCACCTCACGAGAGCCAGCTGTGGGCATCTCTTCCCAACCCCACATTCAGAGACCTCACCTCAGTGACTTGGAATTGGCCAGGGTGGAAGAATTTACACCATGGAAATTGGCATATGCTAATTTTTTTTCCCTCCAGGAGAGCAGGTTGTTATTAGCATGCTATTGGCTCTGGGGAATCCAAACCTGACAGTTTTTTTTTGGT